CGGCCCCGCCCTTCCCTCCCCGGCGCGGGGTGGGGGGGAGCGAGTTCGGAAAAGCGCGCGGGCGGGCGCGCGGCGCCGCGTGGTTGATTCTGTGGTTGGCGTCGCGCGCCCGCCCGGCGCTTGTGCCACGCATCATCGTCCTGCGTGGCCCTGGTGCAGCACAGGGCCATCCCTTCCCCTTTGCGACGCACAGGCACCTTCACCCACACTAGCAGCACTTGTGCAATGAAGGATCTTCACTCGCATGGACCCTCAAGTGTGCAATGCACGCTGCCTTCTTCCTGTGCACCACCAGCACTTGTGCAAAGCACGATCAACCCTCTTCCCATGCACTGCTGGCCCTTATTGGATACTTAATCGTTCCCCCATGCACAGATGGTCCTTGTGCAATGCACAATCCCCTCCTCGTACAAATCAGCCCTTGTGCAATGCACCGTGGCCCCTCCAGGGCCCTCGTGCAAGGAAGAAGCCACCTCAAGTGCCACCAGCCTTTTCACAGGGCACGAGCACCCTACCCATCCGTATGTCTGTCCGTCCGCCCATCCCATTGGAAGGGTGACGGGAAGTGCGGCTCAGCCACGGGATGGCGACCAGAGCTCGGCAATGGATCTTGGCACGGCCACGGAACCTGCGGGCTCTGATGCTGACTCCGTCTTTGCTGCCCTGCAGCCATGTGTAGAACACCCTGGGGCTCCCTGGGGCTTTATGGGGCACCCCAGGGCTCTGTGGAGCACCCTGAGGCTCTCAGGGGCACCCTAGGGATATATAGGACATGCTGGGGCTCCCTGGGGCTTTATGGAGGACCCCTGGGCTCTGTGGAGCACCCCAGGGCTCTGTGGGGCACCCTTAGGCTCTCAGGGGCACCCTGGGGCTATGTCGGACACACTGGGGCTCCCTGGGACTCTCAGGGGTTTTATGGGGCACCCCAAGGCTCTTAGGGGCACCCTGGGGCTATGTAGGACACACTGGGGCTCCCTGGGGCACCCTGGGGCTTTATGGAGCACCCCAGGGCTCTGTGGGTCACCCTGAGGCTCTCAGGGGTGCCCTGGGGCAATGTAGGACATGCTGGGCTCTCTGGGGCACCCTTGGACACCCTGGGATTCTCTGGGACACTCTAGGGATCTGCAGGACACCTCAGGGCTCTGTGGGACACCCCTGGGAACTGTAGGGCACCCCAAGGCTCTTGGGGGCACCCTGGGGCTATTCAGGATGCCCCAGGACTCTGTAGGGCACCCTGAGACTCTCTGGGGCACACTAGGGTTCTGCAGGGCACCTTGTGGGTCCCTGGCACCTTCTAGGACCCCATGGGACACCCCAAGCTTCTGCAGGGCACCCTAGGGCTCTTTGGGATCCTCAAGGGCTCCCTGCAGCACCCTCAGGCTCTCTGGGACACCCCAAGACTCTGCAGGACACCCTGGGGCTCCCTGCGACACCCCGGGCTCTTTGGGACCCCCAGGGTTCTATGGGGCACGTCGGGGCTCTTGGTGACCCCCAGAGCATGATGGGGCACCCCAGGGCTCTGCAGGACGCCCTGGAGATCTTAGGGACACCTGGGGGCTCTTTGGGACCCCCAGGCTTCTGCAGGACCCTATGGGACTTGCTGGGACCCTTTGGGGTTCTGCAGGGCACCCTGGGGCTCTCAGTGACCCCCAGGGCTTTGCGGGACACTCCAGGGCTCTGCTGGACACCCTGGGACCCTGTGGGACACCCCACAGCTCTGGGGACATCCCAGGGCCACCTCTGCTCCAGGGAGCAGCTCTAGACCCCATCGATTCCTGCCGCTCGCAGCCCCCGGGCCTCAGTTTCTCCATGCCACCCAAGGGCCCCCGTTGTCCCCCTTGTCCCCTGCACACAGAGACACGAGGCTGCAATGCCATTTTATTGGAGTGTCGGTGGAGGCGGGCGCGATGCCGTCTCGTCCGCCCGCTCAGTACGTCCGCACCTTCACCTCCTTGGTCTCCGACACCACCTTCCCGTCCACGATCTTCTGGGTGGACCTGTGCACCGTGGACGTGCTCTCCTTCTCCAGGGCGTCCCGCAGGCTGCGGGGTGGGACAAAGCCAGGTCAGGGCACCCAAGGGTGCCATCCCCGCACCCAGGGGTGCTTCTCCAAGCTGGACACCCCAACATCCCTCCTTTCCCCTCCGCCACCCCAAGCATGCCCAGATCCAAGTGCTGATGGACCTGGAGCAACCTGGACGTGCTGAGAGCTTCCCAACCTCATCCTATAGGGAGCAAATCCCACCTAAGGGTAAATCCCAGCGGATCCCGCCGCATGGGGATACCTGAACTCCTCGCCGCCCTCCAGCAGCTGCCGGTAGGTCGCGATTTCCGCCTCCAGTTTGTCCTTGACGTTGAGCAGCGCCTGGTACTCGTCGGCCTGGCGCTGCAGCTCGGCCCGCGCCTGCGCCAGCTCGGCCTCGACGCGCGCGATCAGCCCGCCCAGCTGCTCCATCTGCAGCGCGTAGCGGTTCTCCACCTCCAGCAGGTTGCCCTCCAAGCCGGCTTTCTGCAAGGAAAACCCCCCCAGAGCCGGTGAGATGGAGATGTCCTCCATGGGGACATTGCTTACTTTTTGTTTGTTTGTTTTTTGCAATTTCCACCCCTCTTTTTTAGGTGAGCAAAAGTTGGGGTTGCTGCTTGCTGGAGATGGACAAGGATGATCAGGGGCCTGGAACATCTGCCCTATGAGGAGAGGCTGAGGGAGCTGGGCCTGTTCAGCTGGAGAAGAGAAGGCTGAGAGGGGATCTAATCAGTGTATATAAGTACCTCAAGGGAGGGAGTGCAGAGGACAGTGCTGGTCTCTTTTCAGTGGTGGCCACTGATAGGACTAGAGGAAATGGCCAGAAACTGAAGCACCAAAAATTCCATAGGATCTTAAGGAAAAATTTCTTAGCAGCGAGGGTGCCAGAGCACTGGAACAGGCTGCCCAGAGAGGTTGTGGAGTCTCCTTCTCTGGAGATCTTCAAACCTGCTTGGATGCAGTCCTGTGCCACGTGCTCTAGGTGACCCTGTGTGTGCAGGGGTTGGACTGGATGATCCCTAGAGGTCCCTTCCAACCCTAAACATTCTATGATTCTATGATTCTATGGTTCTATGGAGGTGGTGGCGCGTGCGGTGACGCAGCGGTGGCCCCGGTGGGGCTCCATCTGACCCACCTGGTTGCGGAGGGAGTCCAGGTCGATCTCCAGGGTCTGCACGGTGCGGCGGAGGTCGAGCACGGTGCTGCGCGCCGTGTCCACGTCCTTGCTGCTCTGCGTGATCTCGATGGTGCTCTCGGTGATCTGCGTTGGGGAGGGGACACGGCGTGGGGGGTCACCACCCATGTCCCCTGTGTTGGACCAGGGCTTCCTTGGGGAAGGTCCCAATGGGCAACATCAGGCTGGGGGCTCCCTGGCCAATGCCAGCACTGGGGACTGTCCCCCATCTTGGGTTGAGGTCCCCTCCGCCAGGCCAAGACCTCCAAGGAACATCTTGGGGTGGAGATGATGGGGCACCGGACCCACCTGCTGCCCCCACTGCTTTTCCAGGTCCTCCAGGTTCTTCTGGGCCAGCGCGTCGTACTGCGCCCGGATTTCGGCCATGATCTTGCCCAGGTCCTGGGACTTGGGGGCATCCACCTCCACCGTAACGGACGAGTCGGCGATCTGCGCCTGCAGGCCCTTCACCTCCTGGGGACACCGAGCGGCCACCGTGAGGTCCCCGGGGAGCCGAAGCCCCCAGGTCCCCACAGAGCCCCAGGCGACGGCCCCAGGCCCTGACTTACGTCCTCGTGGTTCTTCTTCATGAAGATGAGCTCCTCCTTGAGGGACTCGATCTCGCCCTCCAGCTGCAGCCGGGCCATGTTGGTGTCGTCGATGACCTTGCGGAGCCCCACGATGTCGTTCTCCACCGAGAGGCGGATGGCCAGCTCGGCCTCGTACCTGGGGGACACGGTGCCTGCTTGTCCCCAACCCATCTCCATCCCCATCGCCATGTCTGTCCTCATCCAGGTCTCCATCCTGACTCCACTGCTGTCACTATCTCTGTTCTAGTTCCCATCCCTTGTCCCCATCCCAACCTGATCTCCATCCCCATCCTCTTCTCCAGCTCTTCTGCCCAAGCCCATCCCTGTTCCAATTTCCACCTTGTCCCCATCTTTTCATTGTCCCATCCCATCCTCATCTCCATCCTCATCCTCTTCTCCCATTCTTCTGCCCAAGCCCATCCCTGTTCCAATTTCCACCTTGTCCCCATCTTTTCATTGTCCCATCCCATCCTGATCTCCATCCCCATCCTCTTCTCCAGTTCTTCTGCCCAAGCCCATCCCTGTTCCAATTTCCACCTTGTCCCCATCCCATCCTGATCTCCATCCCCATCCTCTTCTCCAGTTCTTCTGCCCAAGCCCATCCCTGTTCCAATTTCCACCTTGTCCCCATCCCATCCTGATCTCCATCCCCATCCTCTTCTCCAGTTCTTCTGCCCAAGCCCATCTCTGTTCCAATTTCCATCTTGTCCCCATCTTTTCATTGTCCCATCCCATCCTGATCTCCATCCCCATCCTCATCTGCAGTTCTTCCGCTCAGCGCCATCCGTGTCCCAGTTTCCATCCCTGTCCCCTTGTCACCATCCCGCCCTTGTCCCCGTCCTGTCTCACTTGACCCTGAAGTCATCGGCGGCCAAGCGCGCGTTGTCGATCTGCAGCAGCGTGCGGGCGTTATCCACGGTGGCATCGTAGATCTGCGGGGGGACAGGGGTGGCTTTGGGGACATCCCGTCCCCGCCGGCCACGTCACCGCAGGCAGGCGCGGCTCCGGTGACCGGATCCGTGGGACCTCGCCCCGGAAAAACCGCGATAAAGCCCGGGGCCGCCGCGGGAGCCCGGACGCCTGGGCCCCTTTGGGTGGGACAGGCATTGACGCAGTCCCAGGGCGCGGGGGGAAGAGGCATCCGTGGGGTTTGGCTCTTCCCGGTGACCTTGAGCCAGTGGGATAGGTCAAATGGATCTAAAACAGGACACGTTTGGGAGAGGGGGATCCTGCGGGATGGGTCAAAAGGATCTAGAACAGGGGACACGTTTGGGAGAGGGGGATCCTGCGGGATGGGTCAAAAGGATCTAGAACAGGGGACACGTTTGGGAGAGGGGGATCCTGCGGGATGGGTCAAAAGGATCTAGAACAGGGGACACGTTTGGGAGAGGGGGATCCTGCGGGATGGGTCAAAAGGATCTAGAACAGGGGACACGTTTGGGAGAGGGGGATCCTGCGGGATGGGTCAAAAGGATCTAGAACAGGGGACACGTTTGGGAGAGGGGGATCCTGCGGGATGGGTCAAAAGGATCTAGAACAGGGGACACGTTTGGGAGAGGGGGATCCTGCGGGATGGGTCAAAAGGATCTAGAACAGGGGACACGTTTGGGAGAGGGGGATCCTGCGGGATGGGTCAAAAGGATCTAGAACAGGGGACACGTTTGGGAGAGGGGGATCCTGCGGGATGGGTCAAAAGGATCTAGAACAGGGGACACGTTTGGGAGAGGGGGATCCTGCGGGATGGGTCAAAAGGATCTAGAACAGGGGACACGTTTGGGAGAGGGGGATCCTGCGGGATGGGTCAAATGGATCTAAAACAGGGGACTCCCTGGGGACTCGTTTGTCCAACAAAGGGTGTCATTGTCCCCAGGGCTATGGGAGGGGCTGTGGCACCGGGCGGTCCCTTTGCCGCTCCCTCGGGCAAAGATCACCTGGGTTAATGGCCAACGGCTCCCGTGGCCTTGGGGCACCAACCGGGAGATGCCACCACCCTGAGTGGTCCCCTGAGTGGGACCTCAAGGCTGAGCCCTGGCGCCAACTCATTGCATGGCGGAGCCCACGGGCCTCACCTTGTTGCGCAGGTCCTCGATGACCTCCCAGTAGTGGCTCCAGTCGCGGGCGCTGGGGCCCTTCTTCTGCATGAAGTCGCGGATCTGGAGCTCGAGCTGGCGGTTCTGCTGCTCCAGGCTCCGCACCTTGTCCAGGTAGGTGGCCAGGCGCTCGTTGAGCTCCTGCATGGTCTCCTTCTCGTTCTGCACCACGCCGGAGCCCGAGAGCAACAGGCTGCTGCTCATCCCGCCTCCGTAGCCGCTCATCCCGGCGCCGTAGCCGCTTCCCCGGCTGGCGGTCCTGGGGATGGAGAT